CCCCAAAACCCCAAAACCCCAAAACCCCATTTTGGAGAGGTTGGGTTAGAAATATTAAAGTTTAATCTTGCTAAAAGTTAAACTTGTTGTTTGTAACTTCTTCATAACTCGCCATGAAACTGATACTCCTTATAGTTGGTACTGGCTAGTTCAGGCTCTAAACTCGCTAGGGCTTGAATCATAGCCTCTTTGGCTCAGGATTTTAGCTGCTTAGTCTCCAGGCTTTCATTCAAGATTTAAGCATTTTTCTGTATCGCAAATCGTATCTTCAAGAGTTTTACTCATTTTTACCAGATCTTTCACTCATTTTTACCAGATCTTTCACTTCAGTTGATTAAATTGACTTATTTCTCGCCATCAAGTCTCTTTATAGAATGTTGTAGGCTTAACCTTTTATGCCATTTTTATTCCTTAAATTAATTTATAACCATAATGAAGGACCACAAACTTACCAAAAGTATCTTCACATCGGATAAAATCCTTACTAGCTGAGAGTACTCATAAAGAATCAGATTCTTAGGAAAAGTGGTCTTGATGATCATCAAAATCGAATCCATGAGCTCTGAATATTGTAGATCTTCCAATAGAAATGATCAACCTCAACATTTCTAAAATTATTCAGTAATTCGCTACTCTTCTTGGTGAAAGGGTACACAAAAACCTTAGCCACAAGAGGAATAATTAGAACAATTCTGAAGGACCTATTAAGCCGTTTCCTACTAAATAATTTTGTACAGTAATTAGTCTCAGTAAAATCTATTCCTTCAAAATCTCGATTTTTACAGTGAACTCAAGGTCAGGGCTGGAATGTAGCAAGGGAACAATTGTACTTACTACCCAAGCTCTTCATCCAACGTTAATCTTTTAAAGCTTGAATTTAGTAAAAGGAGCTGATTCTTTGTTTTTAGACTGAAATATTAGAAATAAAACTGAAAGAGAGAGCTAAATTTTCTCTCTTTTTCAAGAAATTTCAACTAGATCATTCCTCTGAAAAAATATTCTTGAGAGGATAATTATGTAGTCAAAAAGTTGTCAAAATTGCACAGGAAGTTGGTCAAGGAGCGAAAAAGACGAAACTAATATAGAGGTTAATGTCAGCTTATCCTTTCTCCTCAAACCCCTGCTCATTTGTCCAGACCAGAACTCTGAGCTGGTAGGAAGAGTATAAATGTGCATAAAGGCACTAGTTACAAAATGTGTATCAAAATTAAGCTAAAATTTAAATAAGAAAATAAATTAGAAAGGGGCTAAGTTATCCTTGAAGTAATTTCTCAACTATTTCGCTACGTTTCTTCTCCATTGGGTTCATTTCGTCTGAGCCAGCAGTGCCTGCCTCATCTTCTTTGATCACATGGCTGTTGTAAAGGATGTTGATGAGCTCATTGGTCTTAATGATATCCACTCCGAAAATAATCCTAAGCTGATGGTCCTTGAATATCATGTAAGTGGAGCTTGAATGGTTTACTAAGCCATTCTCTAGTGCGTAGTTAATGAACTTCAAGGAAATCTCCTTGATCGTGCCTGATTCTATTGACAAAAGTTGGGCCAAGCCTGGCTTCACAGTGTATACTTTGGTCTTTGAGCAGGGTACTTTGGGTGTAGGATTAGAATTTTGCTGTTTTTGAGGTTTAGAGACATTTTGAGGTGGATTTGACACATTCTGAGGGGTTTTATTCCTGGTTTTACCCCTAGTCATTGGAGTTCTCATTACTTGCTTAATCTGGACTTGTTTTTTAGTTTTCGATTGCTTTTTGTTCTTAGCAGGAGCTTTAGTCTGTTTCTGAGAGTTATTGCTAGAAGCATTACTCATGAGCGGAATTTTGATTTTGTTGAGAAGATCTTTCAACTGTGACACACCCATACTTTCGTTTTGCTGTCCTGAGGAATTGCCAAGCTGAGTACTGTTAGAAACTAACGATTTCAATTTCTGCAAAACATCAATTTCAGTAGCTCCCTGCTTTTTTGAAGGAGGTGCTTTCCTCACTCTTTTCTTACTGTTCTTCTTAGCCTTTTTCTTCTTGGGAATTGTTTCGGATATTTCATATTCCTGGTTGATATTAGCAGATAATGATTCACTACCAAGTTGGTACTCTTCATCATCATCTTCATTCATTTTCATCCTTCATTTCATGTTCCTCTTCTTCGCTTTGTTTTTGGTGGATAATCTAGGGCTTCTTTCGTGTTTTTTAAGCTTGCTGACCTTCAAGCGGATTTTTTCTTCACTTTGTACAGGGTGCTCAGCTGCTTTGATCCCCTTATATCCATGTTCTTTGAAAGTCTTGGTGCCTAAAGTCTCATGTTGTGTGCAGAATACTGGGCAATAACCATGGTTTTCAACTTGGCTGAGTTCATTGGCATCCTGATAATCCTTGATTCATCCCTTCATAGCCGAACAGTATACATGGAAATGGGCTGTTCAGTTCTTATATTCTCAAGTTATGCAGGTACCTGATGATTTTCCTCAGTATTTTCATTTTGATGAGACTAGGTCTTTGTCAATATTCCCACCTACTTTGTACATATGAGGTGTCTTGCCAACTTCAGCATCAAAAAAGTAGATTCCTGGCATCCAGTTGACTCAAATAGGATGAACCCATTTGAGTCTGTCTGTCTGGACCATGACTCCTTTTAGGCCGCCACAGAGAGTTCATTTTGGGATCTTTTTAGTCGCAACTATTTCATTGCATCTCTCTCAGAACCAGTCTCCATCAGGGATGTTATACTCGATGTCTCTGCCGTAGCATGATTGATGGACTGCTCCATTGCAGAGATCTCAGAGGAGGATCTCTTCCTCCTCTGTTGTGTCTCCATTCATGCAGATTTCTCACTTTACGCTTTCATCATCATCGTTATGAGCAACACGGACTTGTGTAACCAGATAGGGAGAAATACTCATCTTGGCTAGAGTCGAAGTTGTCTGCTTTACTGAGGATGGCTGGGAAACCTTAGGAGTTGTCTCGGTCTCGATAGTCTCTTCTTCCTCTTCAGAAGAGCTATCATCTGGTAGCATTACTGCAGGTATTCCTTTGTATGGCCTTAAAGGTGCAGCTTCTTGTTGGGAAATATCTTGATGGGCAGGATCTTGCTGGGCAGGCTCTTGCTGGACTGGCTTTTGCTGGTTTGTTTCTTGCTGATCTGGTTTTTGCAGGTCTGGTCTTTGCTGGTCTGGCTCTTGCTGAGCTGGCTTTTGCTGAACTGGTTTCTGTTTAGTTAATCTTATTTCAGCTGCTATTTGGTCTGCTAACTGTTCAACTGCTGCTTGGTGAGCTGCTTTTTGCTCGGCTATTTTCTGCTCAGCTGCTCTTTGCTCAGCAGCCTTTCTCCTGGTTTTCCTCGTTTGTCTTGGCTCAGACGTCGGTTCAACATTCTTCTGTATTTCTTCAAGAGATTCTGGATTAATGTAAACAGGATTTGTACTATCATTCCCTGTAGACTCCTCTCTAGTCTGAACCATCTCAGGTTGCTTGGCAAGATTTGGAGGAGCAAAGCCTCCAAAACTTGGTAAATCAGAGTCTGAAACCTGCTCATCAGACATTTTGGAATCCTCTTTCTCCGCATAATTCTGTGAACTTTGCAAAGCCCCATAGTTAAAGCGAGGTGTTTGTGGAACATCCTGTTTTCTTCCCTTGCATGCAACTTTTTTCTTTCTAGAAAGAGGCAGATGTTCTTTGGACTTAAACTGGGTGTCCTTGATATTCCCTGGGTTCGTTCAGGAATGGATCTCGTCATGCTCGGTCATATCAACAGTATGACTCACCTTTCCTGAGTTATCACCATTGTTAGTAGTATTACTCCCTGAACTCTGAGGGATATTAGGGCTGATGTTCTCTTTTTCATTCTCATAGTGCTTGCTCTCTTCAGAGCCCTGCCCTGAGGTATTAAGCTCCTGCATTGAAGAAACATCCTTTATCTGGTTCCCAAGAAGTAGCCCTTGAAGGTAGTTTATGTTGGGATTGGGCATCTGAATCGCATTATCAGCTCAACTTTTCTTCATTTAAGTCTTAAAACTAAGTTAGTATTCTTTGCTAGTTTAAGAACAATTTGTCAAATTTTAGAAATTTATTAAACTTATAGCAATAAAGCTCTTTCTGGAGGGGTTTTGGGGTTTTGGGGTTTTGGGGTTTTGGGG